ATATGTACATATGTATATACGTATATATGTATATATGTGTATATGTATATATGTATAGGAGTTTGTATAGGTACGCGTACTGTACATGTACATGTACATGTGCATGTACATGTGCATGTACATGTATATGTATGTGTATGTGTATGTGTATAAAGCCAAACCCGACAAGTGCAACCAAGGAATGAAACTGGATTGGACTCTCTCTTTCGCCACTGCAGCCAGCATCGCCGTAGAACGGCATCACATTGGACTCAGCTAAACTGATAATACAGATGGTGATGAAAAATGCGTTGAGTCTCCCGAACACGGCAGGCTACCTCAACAGTTACAACGGCCAAAAACTGAGGCGCCAAAGTGCTCGCCAAACCCATCGCTTGGAAACGAACTCATGCCAGCTTCTAGTTCGCGGGGTCTTCTGTTGCAGTTATAAGTCTCACTGCAGGAAGACGGCTTCGAGATGTGGCTGCGATTTACATGTCGGCTGCAGTGCACTAAGCTGACATGAAGAAACAGCTTGGACGTGAAACCCTAAACCCTAAGCCCTAAAGCCTAAGCCCTAAACCCTAAACTCTAAACCCTAAACGCAGCACAGGGGTCGAGTTGGCCCTCAAGCTCGGGCCTTCTCATGTTGGTGCAACACGGGACCTCACTGCGAGGCAAGGCACGAAAAGTGCCGCTTGCTCGCGGCGTTCATAAAGACTCAGAGAGCTTGTCTTGCAGGAGCCAGGGCGCACTATACCCAGCTGTAGCTTACATCCCAGATATGCATACTTCTGAGGTGCGCCATGTCTGGCCCCCGGAGCACGATCGGGACATGGGCCAATCTTCGCACCGAAAGAGTCTCTTTCGGAGAAAAACGCAAAGGGAGCAGTTAGAGAATGTGGGTTTCAACAAGACAATACCTCACTGACTTTCAGAAGGTGCAATGACCCACGCCCAAGCTCCATTAGACAGTCTGAAAACCTGCAAGTTGTGAAGTTGAGCACTTCGACAACAAGAAAAGGAAAAGCGGCAAATTCGTTCGTTTGGTTAACTCAAGCTTGCATGAATCCTGCATACCACTATGGGAAGCAACAGACCTCCAGAAGCACGACTGCCTCAAGATGCACTGGCACCCACACTGTCGTTGTCTGATTGGCTTCGGCAGTCGGCAACTCTGCTTAGCAAAGCTGCGACCTCCTCCCTCGTGCATGACGAAAGAATGTGCTCGTGGTAAGCGTGCGGACTTCTTGACCCACGTGCATCTATGTTTACAACAAACGGTGGCCTTTTGCTAAGGTCATACTTCTTCAAGTCCTCAAGCCAGGACTCACTGCCAAGGAAGACAATTAAGGGAAGTTCTTTATTGTACCTCTGCGATTTGAAGAGCGCGGCCCGGAATTCCTGCTGAGTGCAACACTCCAGAGCATCGTCAACGCCTAACCGTTGAGCATGTTGCTGAAAGATGAAGCGCTCATAGTCATAACCGCCAGCCACAAGGACATCCACCTTGCCCCTGAAACATGGTCGCTCGCTTCCTGTGGTCCTTGAGCGCGGTGCTGCCTCGGCACTGCTCGTAGCCATGCCGGAGCTCGAAACACCTGAATCTGTCGCGCTTCTTGCCGGCATCGCTTCGGCAGCTGCATCTGTCTCGCTTCTCGGCAGAGCGGACATAGCGATTGCGAGTGGAAGAGACCTACTGCGAGTGGAAGAGACCTACTGCCGGCAGGCCTTGAGCCTTAGGACGCGAGTCGGACAGTGCAAGCTTCAGGGGTTTAGGAGTTTCGGATGAGAATGGCAAAAAGATCGCAAAGTTGACGCTTGCGGTAGCAAGTGGTAGCGATAACGATGATACCTCACGTCAACAGATGCTTGTGAAGGCACGGTGTCTGGAGAGGCATCAGCACATAGCATGACCACGAGGTGTGAAGCAAGCAGATTCTTGCACAACAAGCGTGGACATGTGGCTGACTGTTGGCTCTGGCAGTAGTAGCTCCAAAAACCCTAAGACCTTCAAAACCTTCAACGTTGGAGGCCGGCCTGTCCTCACGAGCCAGGTTTCTGAAACCGCTGTGGCTCACGGGGAGCTTACGTCGATGAGGCCACACATCACTTCTGCCAAAGGCTGCTGGTTCTATGGACATCCGTCGAGGGACGAGGATGTGCATGCGAATGGGAAGGAAGCGCAAGAGCACAACGATGACGATGATGGCTGCGATGACGACGATGAAGAAGCAGGTGCCGAGGAGGAGGAGGAGGAGGAGGAGAGGATGATGATGATTATGATGGTGATGATAATTATGACTGATGATTGCTGCTGATGCTGCTGCTGATGCTGATGCTGATGCTGATGCTGATGCTGATGCTGATACTGACGCTGATGCTGATGTGCTGGTGCTGGTGCTGGTGCTGGTGCTGGTGCTGGTGCTGATGCTGATGCTGATGCTGCGGATGATGACGATGATGAATATCATGATGATGACGGTGATGATGCTGATGATGATGATGATGGTGGTGATGGTGGTAATGATGATGATGATGATGATGACGATGACGATGATGATGATGATGACAGTGGTGATGATTGATGTTGATGTTGATGATGATGATGATGATGATGATGATGATGATGACGATGGTGGCGGTGATGATGATGATGATGATGATGGTGATGGTGATGGTGATGGTGATGAAGATAGTGAAGATGGTGGTGCAGGTGATGGCGATGGTGACGGTGACAATGATGGCGGTGACGATGACGATGACGATGATTCCGATGATATTGATTGCTGGTGATGCTGATGACGATGACACGACATCATCATGATGGAATAATTCTGGCAATGCCGGCTAAACCCTTGGACCCATTCGCCCCTGACCCCTAAACCCCAAAACCGCATTAAACCGTGGCCGGCAGCATTTTGTCCATGGTCCGCCAAAGCATTGGCTCGCCTTTGGTCGACTTCGGCGCTGGCTGCCTGATGCATTCGGTCAAGGCTTTGTCAGGGATGTTTATACCGTTTTTTCAAGAGTTTACGAGTGATTAAAGCTTTATAAGGGTCTTTGGGCTTTCTTGAGCCGGGGCACCCCGATATTTCTGAAACTGAAGGCTTTAAGGTGTAGAGCCGTGCCTTGGGCTTTAACAAAACCCCCCACAACTCGAAATCCCTAAACCCCTAAACCCTAAGACCCTAAACCCTGAAGCCCTAGACCCTCAGAGTTTCGGGAGATTCGATATTCTCCGACTCGTTTCCTGTTTTTTGCCGGGACTGAAGTTCTTGAGCTACAGCTTCGGACGCAGGGTCAAGGGGTTTTGAGTTTAGGGCTTTAGTGGTTTAGGTTGTGTGAGAGGGGAAGGCTAGGGTTTAGGGTTTAAGGCAGGTTTCAAGGTTTACTGCCTGCGATTTCGAAACCCATCATCTCTTCTAAATAGAACGGTGGAGATACCGGTTCAGCTACATAAATAAATGGGTAGTTCTCTAAATTAGGGTCCCTTTTTAGGTCCCCAATATACTACGGCACCCTTATAAAACGGACCCCAAAATGGGACCCTAATTTAGAGAACTACCCACAAAAATCTTTGGGGGGTTTCCCTCCAAGTCGAAGGGGGCTTGGAATTCGGTTTGGCTCAGCCCCGAACGAGCCAGCTAAAAGCCATTCCCTGCAAGTCATCTAGCATTGGGGCCGTAATAACTAGCCATGGGTTTCGGTCCGCCCCTAAACCCTAAACCCAAAGCCCTAAACCCTTTGGAACCCTAAAGCCCTAAACCGCCTTACTCTATAGGAACTACTACTCTGCAAGCCGGCCGTGGCTAGCACTCAAGGCTTCTGGCTCTTGGGATTGGCTTCAACCACCCAAACTCTGAGTCAGCCCCGAGCCATGAACCCCTGAAGCCTTGAAAAAGGACCCCTATGAAGGAGCCCTTAAAAGGGTTTAGGGTTTAGGGCTTAGGGCTTAGGGCTGCCCCCTAAACCCTAAACCCCCCTAACCCCTAAACCCTAAACCCTAAACCCTAAACCCTAGACCCTAAACCCTAAACCCTAAACCCCCCCAACCCCCGCCCCCAAACACTCCGTGGGCCTGTGCAACTCGCTGAGCCTCTCTGCGATGGCCTCAAGCAGCCTCTGGTTCCCGGAGTGCACGTCTGCCTGGTGCCGAGGCTTCCTTGAAGGGTCTTGAGATTTAGGGTTAAAAAGATTTAGGATACCCTAAACCAACCCTAAACCCTAAACCTTAAATTTCATAGGATTTAGGATACCCTAAACCCTAAACCCTACAACCTAAACCCTAAATTTCGGGTTTAGGGTTTAGGTTTAGTCCTCCAGTCATTTCAAAACCATCATGAAGAAAACATCAAGCCGTCTCTGTCACCTTGGATTTGTCGGGGATGCCTGCGAAAGCGCGGCAATCTCGGCGAAACGGCCACAAACGCTCCTTTTCCAGCAATTTTTGTTTGGAGGACTCCTGGATTTTCTGGGTTCCGTCGGAGCCGTCGAAATGGGGGGAAAGAAACCCCGAGATCGGGCGACGGCCAAGAGCAAGTGGCACTTTCTGTAATCAGGCTTTGGTTACAGAAAATCAACCACAAATTTTCCGCCGGACCCGCCGAAATGCTGAATCCTCGTGACATTCGCCGCCGCTTATGCCAACATCAAGACCCTTCCAAATTGCCAGATAGACCAAAAAGCGCGCCCTGCGTACACCCGGATCAAGAGTGCAGGGTGTGGGGCATTTGCCGTAAATATATTATTGTTTTCGTCCGCCCGGGGACTGGTTTACTGTCCCTATTGAGAACGAGTTCACGCTTGTGGTACGTGCTAGCTGCTAGTTGGATTGTTCCGTGGTAGGCATACACTTCGCGATGGAAGTGAGTCGCAAAAGTTAGGGGGGGATCGCTTTGGCCGACGCCGCTTACAAGGCGGCGGCGCTTAGGCCGGAGTTTAGGGTTTGGTATTGACCCGTTTCAGCTGGAAAGGTAATCTTGGGCTGGGCTGAGCTGGACCCCTGGGTGCTGCGCTGGGCTCGGCGCTGCTCCCACAAGCAGTGGTAGCGCTAGAGCTTGTATTAGGGGATCATAATATGGCTTCGGGGAGATTAGAAACCCCCAGAGCCCTGAATGCCCTGGACGCTGTAAACTGCAAGCAGGCCCTAAAGGAGACCACGAAAAACGGAGCATGGATTGCGGATGCTTCGTGCCGGGCTTCTTTCGAAGCAACACCAAGCTACTCTGAACCCACTAAGACTTAACACCCCGTCCCCTGCCCCCTAAACCCTAAACCCGAAGCCCTAAACCCTGAGAAGCAAAAATGCAGCGAGTTCCTTGAAACCCTAAACCCCTAAAACCCCGAAACCCTAAAACCCTAAACCCTAAACCCCTAAACCCTAAACCCTAAACCCCTAAATCCTAAAACCCTAAACCCCTATAGAATCCTATTAAGGTAATTCCCAAAAGCTCTCGGAGGCCCCCATAATTTAAGGTATATACTCCTTAATTCCCTTATAGAACCCTTACAGAGACCCTTATAGATCCCTTTACAGGGCCCTAAACCCTAAAACCCTAAACCCCTAAACCCTAAAACCCTAAACCCCTAAACCCCTAAACCCTAAACCCCTAAACCCTAAAACCCTAAACCCCTATAGAATCCTATTAAGGTAAACCCTAAACCCCTATAGAATCCTACTAAGGTAATTCCCAAAAGCTGTCGGAGCCTCCTCAAGGGTCCGCCCGGGGAGGTAGTCCATGACCATGCCAGAAGGGCCGCAGGAATGGACCTGCAGGGCTTAGGGTTTAGGGGTGTAGGGGCTT